ACATCTATTTATTCAGAATGCTGCCCATGGTGGAATGAGTAGGAGTTCTGAAGTCGGGGTAAAACTCACTGGTTATGACAGCCAACAAGTTGATTAAAATACACACTGAAATGCTGTAAGTTCAAGTCTTGAAAGCTTGTTGAAAGACACTTCAGCTTATTAATAGCCTTCAAAATCCATGTATGGGTAATAACATATTTATAGAAATAAATACATCCGTGCTAAGAAGAAAGACTAAAACTAGAATGATGTATAAATTCAGTTTTGTACTTAAAGATGCACACTATACCAAAATATAATTAAGTCCTCAATGTAGCACTTAAATGATCAACTAATATGCAAATAATGGGCAATATGAAATGGCTTGCCTTCATTTTTTTAATATATATGATTTAAGGTAACTTGCAGTCTCTAAAACATGTACCAACCAACAGATTAAAAAAACACTCCCAAAATCTTTATTAGCAGTAACCATCATCCAAAATGATTATTAGAACAGGACATTTAAATCACTACAAAACATTCTCACTTACAGTATCATTTTATTTTCACAAGACACATTACTTCAATAAACATCTAAAGAATCCTTATTATGGGCCAGGCACTGAGCTAGATAACAGGGTTTAAAAAAAGGGTAAGAATGACTTCAAGGAATTCATAATTGGCTGAAGAATACTACTGTACACTCAAATATTCTCCAGTAGGATAGCTACATATATAATAGAAGTATGTTCTAGGTAGAAAGGTGTTAAATGAGGCAACGGTCAATGCTGCAGTGAACCAGTAGAGGAAGGACCCTATGCTCCAATCCATCTTTGTAGCCTAATCTACCAAAACACAGCATCTAGCACATAAATGACAACTGACTCTAGGTCAAGAGGCAAAAACCATATTTTTCAGATTAGGCCCTTGAAACTCACAAAGGTTAAATTATTTGCCCAAGGTCACAAAGACAGCAAAGGCATAGCCAGGACTGGAACCCAATTTTTTTTACCTTCAAATCAGATACTCACTTGGACAGTGCTTGTTCACTAATGAAAGAACTCAGAGTTAACAGGCAGCTTTTTTTAACCTCAGCTACCAGACTAACTTTAAATCAAGCATAACCACAAAACTAATACCAACAGCTTCTGCACACTCAAAACAGTAAATTGAATAATGGACGAGAGTTCCTTTTCCTTCTGGCCAATCCAGTTTAATGAAACTTTAAGAATCACAACCATAATCTGCAAGGCCTAAGAGAAAAACTATTATGCAGATTTATTTCAGCCTAGGAAACAATTTTTATGCCAATAAACATAAACTATGAGTAAGTTAGGGTATTAGATTTAATTAAGAACTGCATTTTTAAATATCCAGGACACTGGCCAAGTTAAATTTTACTTAAATAAAAATCAACAGATTGGCTCAACATCAGTATATTTACCACAAATAAAAACAAGCACCCACTATTATAGAGTAACCTAGCAGAGCAGGTAGATTTTAAAGAACAATTGCTAGGGGTTATGCCTTCAGGAAATCTGTAAAAAAGCTGTTTGAACTATACACAGGCAATGAAAGAAACTACATGAATATAAAGCTAAGAAAGTTCTTACAGCTTAAAAACTACAAGCACCAAGAGTGTACAGCAATGTGCAAACTATATTTATTGTATAATCCCCCAAATCTTACTCCTTGCACCCTACTCAAGCCCTCTGATAGCAGTCAGGAAGATGTGAAGAGGCTGTGATCACAAAAACAAAAAGCATCCTGAGCATCTGCTGGCACCAAAAATCTTTCCAAGCTGGAAGGCTGGCTGCATAGTCAGCAAAGACCAGTCTAACATTATTGGTTTGGAGTGGGGAGGAAAACAGGTATTTTCAATCAGGTTTATAAGTGCACCTCCATGCAAAGCAGTGATATTAGATAGCCCTTGCCCTCAAGAAGCCTATAATACAGTGGGGCGGGGGTAAACAAAAGCAACACATGTCAAACAAATTTAGCACTAATATCCCAAAATAAAGCATACATAAATAAATAATCCAGAAATAAAAGGACATCATCACATGGTAGAGGATTCTGAGGAAGTGATTTGAAGGGATGAGTTGAAGTGAACCCAAAATGACTTAATGGGAAAATGTTGGGCTGGCAGTATCAAGAATTTGAGTGAAGATGAAAACAACAAACAGGTTGCTTTTTCAACTTAAGTCCGTCAAATTACCTCAACAAATGGGGGAAAAATAAAAGGGCAACTGGTGGTTATGACACTTGCTCAAGAAGATCTCCCCCATCCATTAAAATTATTTTCAGAAAACCTCCCTAGATTCTGTAAAGACAACAGATTAGCATTCAGCAATGCTTTTCCTTAATTGTAGTCTGTGCTATTAGAAAGTCAATTTCATAAGCACCACAAACCAGAATGGGTTATGTTGTCAATAATTAAAATGTAAATAAATTTGCCTGAAATTTTTCTAAACAATATTAAATATCTTCAATAGAAGGTATGTTGAAAAAATATCTAGCATATTGATAAAAAAATAATTCTCTCAACAGAGAGAAAAGGGCCCAAGTTCCACGACCAATTTCATAGCAATTCCAAATTATCAAGTACTGTAATCTTCAATCTACCTTGCATCAATGCTCCTCCCCCCATCACCACCACTACTGGTAAGAAGCTGTATCTTCATTTAATAACCTCAAAACAATAATTTTCTAATACTAGTGATAATATCTTACACTTATTTAGCAGTTTGTAGTTTTTCAGTCTTTATATCCACTGACTCCCACAACTACTCAGTCCTGTTTAGAGATTACTCATCCCCATTTTACAGATAAACCTGGAGACCTGATAAGGTTAAATGAATAGCTCAAGGTCACACAGCTTGTGTCCCTTTGGTAGGCCATCCTTTAAGTGGATCATAAAACCTTACTTAGATAATACAAATCCAATAATCTTAAAAGTTAGAATGGAAATGTAACCATTAGCTCAAATTTACTTTGCAAGGTGAAAGCATTGGTTTTACCCTGGCCTAGCATCCCCTTCATTTTAAAATAATAATTAGTTTAGCACCTTCTGGAACTCTAACTGCCTAAAGTTTTCTAAAACTTTTAGAAAGTGAAAAACTAAAACAAAAAGCCTGCTCATGGACAAAAACTAAATAAGTAGATGTCACCTGAGCAAAAACCACTCAAACTCCTGAAAAACTGGGAAGCAAAGGGAAACAATGACAATCTTAATTACAGTTCTTCAATTAAGGATACTGGCACATTGATAGAAAGGCAGATGTAAACAAAGCCCACAAACCCCAACCGTGTAATGTGCTCTCTTATGCTTAAAATAACTGAAAAACTCCCCAATCTCAGAAAGATATAAGTCACACTAATTCAGTTAGACTGAATGTGAAGTTTTGAAAGAATTTTGTTTCCTCTAATAAAATTCACAGTTCCAATCTCTTTGCACAATGTAAATATGAAAAGGATCAATTAAAAAATCTGCAATTTATTGTCTATAAACCTGGTAATTCCACTCGTCAATTCTAACTGCTCTCCCCCATTCCCACCCCACCTCACCCTTAAATGCGACACACAGGCCTCATATACATAGGCTCCTTGCCTTTTTCTCTAACAACTAGGACCTTTGTTCCAAGCGTCGTTTTTTTAGCCCACTCAATAGCTCTTTCAACTTTCTACCACGTTATTTTTTTTTGTTTTGTTTTCTTTTTAGAGAGGAGATTCCGAGCCTCAACTTTACCGGTCTTTCAAAAATGAAATGCCAAAAATATCTAAAGAGACTGGCAAGGAATAGAAAGTTAAACACACCACTAAAGGGCCTACAGAACGGAGTAAAGCCCGGGGATCGGGTGATGTGGCAGCCCAGGGAAAATCGGGAACGCCGACTAGGGAGACAGCAGGGGAGCAGTTAGACGTCCACTCAACAGACTCCCCGTGCTATTCAATGTGCCCCCACCCCCACCCCCCACACACGAACATTTACACACTGACACCTTCCCTCTCTCAGTTAATGAAGCAATTAAAACTCACCGCCAGCAGGATGTTTAAGCCTCCCCAAAGTCAAACGGCATTATCAAAAACAATGTCTAAAGGGTTTAGGAGCAGCCCCTTCTGTTCCCTCCTCACAACTCAAGAGTAATCAAGTCTCTCCCGTCCACCAAGGGCAGTTCAATTATTTCCACCCTATTTGCCTGTGTTCTTAAAGCTTTATTAATTTTTCCCTCTAGCAAATTAAGGATTCCTCTTATTCTGGAAGGAAGCGATACTGAGGTGGACAGATTTGGGATCTCACGACCTTCGTTATTTGAGCTCCTCTCTAACTTGCCTGAACTAGAAACCCCACTCATTACTGGTGAAGGACGGGGAGAGAGTGGTGAATGGACTAAGGATATAAGATTTTACGTAATCCCATATAAATAAATTCATCGCCTAACTCGCTTAGAATGCTAACACTTCTGGAGTGACACCTGGTCCACCTCCCTCCCAAGTCTGGACCCCCATCACACAATTTCCATTCTGATCCATTAAGGAGAGCTATCCTCCGCACAGACAAGTTTCTCGGCCCCTTTTCACGCTCTACCCACCCCGCCCCCCGCCGGCAAGCCCGTCTCGTACCCTCCCCTCAGCCTCAACTTCCCACGGCTAAAAAACTTGCCTAGAGGAGACCCTGTCTCCAGCCTCACCCGCCCACAACCGTCCCCCTTATTAGGAACCCCTTACAGCGGTCTAAAGCCACTCCGGCCTCTCCCTCCTCTGACCCTCGCTTCCCACAACTGTTGTCACTCGAGCTGCTCCTAGTTTCCATTTCCGGGCCTTCCCCGGCCCTGGAGCCTCCCCTCTCCCAGTTTCCGGGCCCCCCATCCCATTTCCGGGGAACCCTTGCCGTCTTCACAACCCCCACCTGCACTTCCGGCCCCCCACTTTCTCTCTTCCTAGACGCCCTCCAAGCTCCGAAGCCCACTTCCGGCCCCCCAACCCCCGCAGGGCTCCTCAAGATCTGCACGCCTTACCCCGGTTCCGTGAAGGGCCCTTCTCATTGCGGGGGCTGGAAGGAGAGCCCAGCGAACCACCCCGCTCCCGCCCTGCCCGAGTCCCTCAGGCCGCGGTGTCCCTCGAACGCCTCGCCCGTCAACCCCCGGCCCGGCCCTTCCGCGACCCCACCGTCGCTGACGCCGCCGCCGCCGCCGTCGGGAGCAGGCCAGGCGGGGGCCGAATCGCGGCGATGACACAAGCAGGCTTCCTGGGACTTTCTGTTCCAGCTCCTCCCCTCCTCAGTCCACCCCCCCACCGACATCCCTCCCCCCTCAGCGGCAGCGGCGGCGGCGGCGGCGGCTCCTCGGGTCCCTTCAATTATCAGCTGAGCCGCAGCACCGCGGCCGGCGTGCGCCTCCGTGCGCGCCGCCTGCCTCCCTCCCCTCCCGTTCCAAATACCCTCCGGGAACTACTTTGCCCTCCAGCTCTGGCTGACGGGTTGGTCCACGAAAAAGGCCCCACAGCTTACTCGCGGCCCCACACGTCGCCCCTCCCTCCCCCAACGTCCCGCTCGTCTACCCGAGCGGCCTGCGACCTCCTCCCTATCCCTTCGAGGGACCAGGAAGGGGAATGTGGTGCTCCGCTTGGTATCCCTCCGCCGGGGTCATCCCCTCCCCTCCTTGGTAGCAGGAACTAATTCTCCTTGGGTCACGGGGGAACTGAAGGTGGAATTTCACGGATCAGGGCTCCCTGTGACCCTTGAAAGAGAGGACGATCACCCCAAGTCAGAACCCCCCTGCTAGCTTTAAAGTGGGGTTCGGTTTAAACCAAGGCTTTGGCCCCATGACCCCAATCAAGCCCCGCCCCTTCCTGGTTGTCTTAGCGACGGTTGTGGCGTCCCAAGATGGCGTCGTGGCTGCCAGAGACGCTGTTCGAAATTGTAGGACAAGGCCCGGCGCCGAGCAAAGACTATTACCAGTTATTGGTCACCCGGTCCCAGGCAAGTGTGAGCCGCGGTTTACCCTCCCTCCTAACTCCCTGCCCGCCCTGGTGAAGCACGGAACCCTAGTCGCGCCAAGCCTAGAGAGACTGTGGCTCGCCGGAAACGCCCGGTCGCAGCTCCGAGACGGGAGATTTCCCTCGTCACCCCTTGGCCTTCTCGGCCGGCCGGGCGCCCCGCTTGTCCCTTCCCAACCCCAGCCTGGCTCGTCCCCAGCGAGCTTTCTTCGCATTCGCACAACGCCGCCCGCTCCCTTCGTGCTTTCCGGGGTTCCTACCCGTAGAGTTCCCTCCGCGCGTGGAGAAAAACAGACGTCCCGTCTTGCCGTGCAGCCTCACCTCAGCATGGAAATGAGGGAAAAACAGACTCAGCCAAGTGTCCCGAGGAGGAGCCGGCAGGGGAGGGGAAAAAGGGACGATCTCTTTTCCAGGGTAGGACTTAATCATGGGGGATTTAAAACATCTCTTGGTGGTCTTTACTTGTACGACGACCACATCAAAACTCCTTATTCTTGTAGGAATTTATGGTTGAGAGCTTTCCTCTTACCTTTTCTGGATCCCCTTCTATCCCATTGAAAATGTGCGGGGGGTGGTACAAAAATGTTTCAGCTGCTTTGCGCGTCAGCCCCACCCATGATGACATCTGCTCCACAACAATAAGACCGAGGATTATGTTATCACTGTAGTAAAGTAACCATCGGCCTATTTTTATTACCACTTTCGCTATGTAAGGTGGGCTTTTGGATGATTTATTGTGCCCATAAAATGATCAAGTTGAACTGGCCCTCCACTCGGAACACGTTTCTGATTCTGGAACACGTTCTAATTTCCGAGTTTATGCCTGTCTCTGAGATAATACGTGCTTCTTGCACTTCAGTAGATGGTATTCTTGTAAAAAGAAATTTAGAACTGTGTATTTGTTTTGATGTAGATACTGAGTGTTTCATCAGTTTTTTTTCCTGAACCCTTACGTACAATAGGCAGAGAATGACTTTTTGTATACCTTCAAAAGCATCTTTTAAAGTATAAGTAACATTTATTTTATTTTTTAACTCTGAGGTTTACAAATACTACAAGCATAATATCTATTTCAAGTATGATAGTCTGCCAAACATTTTTAATTAAACACTTTTTTAAGGAATTTTTACCCATTTAATTGGAATTTTTCATATGCTGAAACTTAACTCTTTTCATACATTTTTTAGGATTGACTGTTTTCCATTCACTTTAAGATGTATATATGAGCCTAATAATTCTTCATCTTCTAATGTAAATGATAGAAAGCAGTAATAGCTTAACATATTCCTACTTCATTTTCTATTTTCATCTACCTTAAGTAAGTTAGAATGTTCTACTTTTTATTTTACAGGCTTTTCCATAATTTGTCTTTAGAGAAATTTTTTGAGCATTTCTTTTTCTTGCAGGTTGGTATTATTAATGTACTGTACCCCAAGATTGTAAGCCTCAACAAGTTGAATGCTTGTTTACCATTTTATTTTAATAGATTAATCATAGAAGCACCCTTGGCATTATTTTTACCCAAGAATGCTTCTGTTGTTGATGTTCTTCAGACTTTGCTCTGTAGGCCAACTTGGGCACATATTCTTCTTCTAACTATTTTGTTTTATGAAATACAACCCACCCCCATTCTCTTTTTTGTTGTTGTTTTTTCTTTTTTTTTTTTTTAACTAACCTTTCTGTCAGTTGCATATATATAAAATCCTGTTCAAGATTTGATCCATTTTCTTTTTTTAAGCAAACCGAATATATCCATGACAGCCAGTGAGAGTTCATCTCAAATCTGATTAATTCACTCTCTTTTTAAAGTAAATCTTGTTGTGAAAAATAGTAAGCCAAAAAAATAGTCTTTTCAGTCAACTGTATTGAGAATAGCTATTTTCTAACCACAAGATGATTTTTCTAGTCTCAGCACAGGAAACCAAACATCCAGTAAGAAGTAGTCTGACATAAATAAGTACTAAAAGACTGGAATTAAAATGTGTTTTATAAGGTGGACTTTTTTCTGGAGTAACGTTCTAAAATTGATTCTTCTACATTTTTTTTCTCTTTTTTGCCTTTATTTCCAAAAATGTTGTGTTGTCCAAAATATGCCCCAGATTTAGATGGATCTGTCTTTAACTCTGATTGCCTTTTTTATTTTTTCTCACTGTTCTTGTTTTTATTGACTTTAAATCCAAATAACTACACATAAGCCATGAATTTGAAGGCTGATATCTCTCAGATAATCCTCATACCAACATTGGCATCATCCAGAATATAAATGTTGTACATAAATATTTCCTTTACCTTCTTTTTATACAGTAACATTAAAAATATTTTTTATGCTTATAGAGGCATTCCCAGTTAACAACTTGGTGCAGTGATTTTTTTTTTCCAAAAAGGGGCTTACAGAATATAGCTTGAGGAAATACAGTTTAATTCTCAAATCTTATCTTTATAATGATGATCCAAAGACCATAAAATCAATGCACTGCTTTCTAAGTCAAAGATTTACTCAATTATTCTCACCCTATTTTTAGTAATATATTTTCTTACATGGGTTTCTAATTCTTTGAAAACTAGTAGATTCATAAGTTAGGGCTGGAAAGAATCTTGAATATTATGTAGACAAGGAATATTTAACATTTAGCTTCTAAGAACATCTTAAGTTGTATACCTGAATGAAGATCCTTGCCTTAATTTTAACCAGTGATTTGGCATTTACTATGGGGATGCAAAATATAAGAAGATTCCTGCCTTCAAAGAATTCATCATTCATTCAACAATTATGCATTGAGCACCTTTTATGTGCAAAGCACTGTTCTAAATACTGGGGAAACATCAGTGAACCAAACAAAATCCCTTCTCTCAGGGAGCCTATGATCTAGTTGGGAGAATATAGTTAGTGATTTGATTTATAAAACACTTAAATGGTTTAATGTTTATTTTTGTTTTTGTTTTTTTTAAGTCCAAAGGAAGTTCATGATAAGTTAATGAATAGCACAGATATTTTGAAATCTGAGTCAAAGGAAGCAAAAATCATTGTTAGACTAAGAGGTTCTCTGAAGGGTACTGTTACAGGTATTTTACTCTTGAAATTCTGTCTTGTCTCTTCGAAGGAGGCATTGCTTAAACTGGCCAGAACTGACTACTTAGGTTTAATGTGACAAATGCTGGGAAACTGCTAGAAGCAGTAACCATATGCTAAGTAGATGAGAAATGACAGATATGGCCTCATGCAGCTGATAACCCAGATGGGTGTCCCAAGAGTGTCAGCATGTTATGGTCAGTCCAGCAGATGAAACAAGGAAGAATTGGGTAATAGATTAATCTTATTTTATCTCTCCATTTAATCCTACTCAAAACTCCAAAAAGATACTTGAAGCTCATGTCATCTGAAAATTAAAAAAATCCGAAAGCTCACTCCCCAAAAATGGCCAATATATTTGACATGCTCTAGAGTTGCACTGATAGACTGAAAATACCTGGGGTCACATGCCAGCCTATGACAGGAAACTGTCATCTCCATGGCTTCTGAAAAAGCAGTTAAAGAAAACTAGACTTAGTGACTGCTTCTGAGGGATTTTGCAAGAATTGTACCAGTGCCACTTTAAACTATAGACCAATTTAAAATTTAAAATGTAAGTACAGTCTAATAAAAATGATAATACATGCACCCTTTCACACAATAAATCCATTTCTAGGATTTTTCTATCCAGAAATGCTTTCACATGTGTACTGAGCTAATTGAGCAAGAATGTTCACCAAAGTAAAACAATTGTAAAAACATATTTCTATTAGTGGAAATTCAGTTAAACTGTGAATCATTCATACCGTAGAGTACCATGCAACCTTTTAAAAATGATATGATGGATCTCTTACTTATTCAGTAGACCAAATAAATCTTAAGCAAGAAAAAAAAAATTGCTGGGTTAAATGTACTATGACCCCATTAAAAAAAAAACCACCACCACAAGTTTTATTTTTATAAAATAAAAATTATTTTTTGTTTTAAGTGTTAGTGGAGTTTAAATAAATGTTGGAAGAAAGGCTGGAGTGATTCACTCTTAAGGATAGAGTTACAGATTGCTTTCACTTTCTGCCTTGTCTTTCTGAAAGATCTGAATTTCACTACAATGAGCATTTATTTTTATAATCAGAGAAAAGCAAAGATTTGAAGTGAAAATGTAAATGGGGAACTCTTAACCCTGAGAGATGGTGCCCTGCTCTGGGCATCAGCTTCTACCTGTCTCATCCATGAGCCACTTCCCACGTTAAATCGGTGGGCAGCATTGATGACTGTACCACCAGAGTCTACTAATCTTGGGGGTGGATGCAGGGGAGCCGATTAATCTGATTCAGCAAATTTTAGAGAGAATGTAAATGGGTCAGTAGTTACTTATGAAATGTTAAGGAGATCCTAGTGTCTGGAAAATTCCACCCTTATGGTTTTGCTTTTGTTTTTGTTTCTAATGTAATGATTACTTTTGAGACTAAAAAATTGCCCTCTCTTGCTTGCCTTTTTGGGCATGAGATAGTACTGCTGAGCTAAAAAAGAGACGTGGAGAGTAAAATAAGGCAAACGTGGTCCACTGTACAGATTTGTCTCCCAGTAAAGCCTAAAGAACAGAACTTCCGAAACCAATTGAAGTCAAATTAAGTAACATCAGGTTGCACATTTTGGGAGCTGGATGGGGATACAAGCACCTTGATAGCATGCTGGTATTTTCCCAGGGAACCCAGGAACCCCTAAATCATGCTCTATTCTAGCCCTGCTCACTACGTAAGGTCCCCAAGAGTCCTAAGCATGGAGAGGATAAAGCAGAGAGTAAACCTACATTCTCCTTTTACTTCCGGTTACTTTCCTGCCCCTCGGAGAACCTTCGCCATTAATGGAGGTGAATATTTCTGCAGACTGCAAAGCTGTGTTGCCCATTCAGCCCAATGGCCTGCAGCCGCAGCCAAAATGTTTCCATACTGAAAAAACTGGTGCTGCTCCCT